AAAATGTGGAATTTTTTTTGTAGCATATCCAGGGTCTTCCAAATGTTTGTCATATTTCAAAATTCGGAATAGTACTTGTTTCGATACTTCGCTGGTTCAACTGACATCTCTTCTCAACATCTCTGCAGCAGCTAGCAGATTCTAAGCACTTTTCGGTCTCCAGCCTTATCTCAACCACGCAGATGTATAGGCATTGTTTCAATTAGGTCTTCTCATTAGGTCCCCTGGGCGAAAACGAACGTTCTCTAAGTCACATGGTCAAAGCTTCGGCAATTCCGTGTGATGATGCTGCCACCTTTATGTGGTGAGGATCGGTAACTTCGTACTGTTGTATCGAGTTCTCGGGCGACAGGGCCCGTAGGCCGTCTTGAAGAATAGTCCCGTTGGGACGCCGTATAGACTCCCTAGTATAAGTGAATTGAGCCCAGCGTGGGTAGCCCCGAAAGGCCTCCCCGAACCGGACATCAAGCTCATTGTCAATATTTTGCAGAGAATCGCAAGCACCACCTGTTAAGGTTACTAACCCGCGGAAAGGAAAAGCTAGAAAGTTGAAACTTTAGGGGAATATTTCTTACTCATGTACGGCCAAAGTCAGGTGTTTAAAAACGCCCGAGGCCCATTTACGGGCACGTGAAATTTAAATTTTGGCACGAAAATTACTTACCCGGGGATAGGAAAAACTAGAAAGCTGAAACTTTCGGGGGATGTTCCCTACTCATGTGCGATCAAAAGATTTTAAATTCAGCTCCTTAGAACCGTCCGGTGGTATCTTCCGACTAACACTCGATCCTAACCTCGGCGACCGGACTCCCTACGGGACTAGCCGATGCCAGTACCTCAGTATCAGTCCGATCTTGTTGAGCTGATGCCGCCGGATCTTCGACCCCTGGAGGTGCTCTTCGCGGGACTGTTAACCCCACTTCCTTTTCATTGCAGTGGTGATTTTCTCAGTGCCTATTTCAACTAGGTCAGTTCGTTACAGCGGTGATTTCCTCTGGGCATATTTTTTGTCGAATACCATACAGTAGTTCGCCTTGTCTATCTTTTTTCTCGCATTCTTATCATTTGATCATCTCAGCTATTCGTTACTGGCATCCATTGCCCCTATCTAATTTTCGTCTGAATCGCAATATTTTTTCGAAATTATGCTCGGCTTGGTCATTCCCAGCATGTGACGCTGTTGAAGGGGAATAAAACGGAGTTAAATAACTAATCAACTGTGTAAAATAATCATCCAGATTTTCGCCCTCAGCAAGATTTTCGCTTCCATAGAACTAGTAGGATATCGAAGCTGAATAGCGATATATTGCGATATGCAGTATTTCTTTGTATTGCAAAAAAAGTACGTTTCTTCGTCTTTGCGCAAATAACTTTATGTAGCCTCTTTTTCTTGTTTTTTGTACCAAAATACACTATCCATTGGTCGGTATTCCATTGTTTTCTTCCTTTATTTATCCGGAATTCTGTCCCTTTCCACTGGCAAATTCCCTTTTTCTCTCTTCTTCCGCACTTCATTTTCCTCCTTTCCCTTTTCTTCTTTGCCCTTCCTCACTTCCTTCCACCTCATCTTAGATTCCTCTGTTAATAGCCGAGGAGGAGGGGGGGGGGGAAGTGAGTGAGGTGTACTAGCTATAAGTCATAAAGGAGAATTTTACACTTTGCTTTGATATATGATCAAAATACGTAGATTTTTGCAGATACACAGTATGTGCAGTGAATGGTGCACCGGTGCAGGCATGCAGAGTGATGTTTGCTGGCGCTGAGAAGCTTGTGCTGGATATTATTCAGGATGAGGCGAACTACCCATTAAGTCTACGTTTCCAACCGCCAACAATATCAACAAATGAGAAAATCATTCTCTCAAGCACCTTCCATTCACTGTACACAATTGCGGCACAGTTGAGCCCAGTTTCGAAAAGTTCCGGCATCGAAGTGCTAACAACCAACCAGTTCAAGTATGGGTCCCTTTTTTTTTGACCTTCATTTTAGTGTGTATTGATTTTCTACTGTAGTGATAAGTGACACATAATCCCCAAGTTTGAGCGATACTTCGAATGGAGAGGTCGATTTTTCTGCAATTTCTCGATGCATTTCGAGCATATACCAGCACTGCTACATACCTTGAAGAAAGAACTGTTTGTTATTAAACCCATGAAAGGAGGAACCGTCGATAGCTTTGCCGACAGATGAGTGCTGACAAACTTTCATAATTGCAAGGTCAAACTCTGGTTAAGTCTGGAATGTGGGGAGGGTAGAGGCTTTAACAGTAATTTTCCAAATTTTGCAGCAGATTGAAGGGATGGAAACTTATGAAAAACGGAAGGCACTCCTCGTTTTTTCCCTGTCAAGGACTGTTACAGTTCTTTTTTTTTTTGGAAAAATGTGAAAAACAAAAAATTATGCACTGAAACGTTCACTAAAGAGAGGAACACTTGTTTTCTTTTTGCATTTGT